CGCGCCTCAGGAGATGAAAGAAAATGTTTTTCTCCCTGAGTCTGGCCTTCATAATTCCATTTCATCACAGGTAGGAGGTATATGGAAGAGAAATATACTGTATTTATATACTGTAAGTATATATAGTATATAATTTATTAACTATACTATAAGAATAATTGGAATCTATAGAATGTTTATGCTATCCACATTGCATTCAGCTGTATTTGAATTCCAGAACTGAACTGCAAGGATTTCAAAAGGTTCATTAGATGTCCGATTCAAAACTAGGCTCCTCCAAAGTAGGTTAAAAAGACTAGCAGACTTCTGGAACTTTGTTAATAAACAGATTTTGTGAGGCTGCTATCATACATTTTGTGTCTGCCTGAAATTGGGGAATGGGGGTGGGGGGCACAAAAAAATCTTTCCAATAAAAGAAAATACTAGAATGGGTATTGGGAATGAGTAAGTGAACGGGTGTAGGAAAAACAGTTTTTGAATAGCATACTTTGCTAATCACCAATTTCCTTTTTTAAACTCAAATTTACTAATCTGAGTATTTCAAGGAATATTAGTGATTCATCATTTTATAGAACTATTTCTGTCTTCAGCATTATATGCTACTTAACTATAAATCAAGAAAACAGTTCAAAGAAACCTGATGAAAAAGATTAGTTTTCCATCTCAGACCCTATAGCACTCCGAATTTTCTAAATTTCAGAAATTCTGCTTGGAACACAAGGCTAAGTGAGTTTGGAAGGAATATCAGTCTTTAAACAGCAGCATAGAACATTTATTGAAAAGTGGTAAATAGGAAATAAATCAGTTTCCTTTGATCTTTTTATCCAGACACAGAAAATTGTTTCAAATGTCCTGAAAATCAGTATCCAAGCAAGGAGCAAGATCGATGCCTTACCAAAACAATGAGTTTCTTGTCCTTTGAAGAACCTTTAGGGATCTCTTTGGCATCAGCTACTGCTTCCTTTTCCCTCATGGCAACCAGCATGCTCGGAATTTTCCTTAAGCTTAGAGATACTCCCATCGTCAAGGCTAACAACCGGGACCTCACTTATACTCTCCTCATTTCCCTTCTCCTGTGCTTTCTCTCTTCATTGTTATTCCTTGGTCAGCCTGAGAAAATCACCTGCCTTCTGCAGCAACCAACTTTTGGCATCATCTTCTCAGTGGCTGTTTCTTCTGTCTTGGCCAAAACCATCACTGTGGTTGTGGCATTCATGGCTACTAAGCCAGGTTCTACAATGAGGAAATGGGTGGGGAAAAGATTGGCCCTTAATATTGTCCTTTCTTGTTCTTTTTTTCAAGTAGCTCTTTGCACCCTGTGGTTGACAACCTCTCCTCCATTCCCTGAGTTAGACATGCACTCCCTTATGGAAAAAATCCTCCTCCAATGCAATGAAGGGTCATCCTCCATGTTCTATTGTGTCCTGGGCTACATGGGCCTCCTGGCCATAGCCAGCTTCATTGTGGCCTTCCTTGCCCGTAATTTACCTGACAGTTTTAATGAAGCCAAGTTCATCACCTTCAGCATGTTGGCCTTCTGTAGTGTGTGGATCTCCTTTGTTCCAACCTATCTGAGCACCAGAGGAAAAGCCATGGTGGCTGTGGAGGTCTTCTCCATCTTGTCCTCCAGTGCTGCCTAACTGGGATGTATCTTTTTCCCAAAATGCTTCATCATTGTGCTGAGGCCAGAGCTAAATAGCAGGCACCAACTAATCAAACGAAATAATTAAATTACGTCCACATTATTTTTCTGAATGAAGAGGAAAGAATATTAGCAAAGAAAAATTAAAGTCTAGCCCTTTTCAATGTTCAATCCTGTTCTCCTTTCCAAGCCAAGATTGGTACAGATAATCCCTGCTTTATTTTCTGAATTACATGTGCCCACAGTTACTATTTAAGTGATTCTACAATGCAATGAAGTTCAGTTTTCATGTTTTATTCTGTCCTGGTCTATATGGGCCTCTTGGCCTTCACAAGCTTCACCATGCCTTTCTTTGCTTGTAAATTACCTGGCAGCTTCAGTGAAGCCAAGTTCATCACCTTTAGCATGTTGGTCTTTAGCAGTTTATGGGTCTCCTTTGTGCCAACATGTCTGAGCACAAAAGGAAAATCCATGATGGCTATGGAGATCTTCTCTATCTTGACCTTCAGTGCTGCCCTACTTGGATGTATTTTTTTCCCTTAAATGCTTCATCACTGTGCTGAGACCTGAGCTAAACAACAGGAAGCAATTAATAAAAAGAATTGTTAAATAATGCATTTTTCCTACTATATTGCCAAGTTTATACCCTAAATATATTAGCCACCTAGAGTAATTGTGGCTTCAGTTCATGTCATTATAGCATGAAGGATGTATATATATCATAATATTTCTGTTACATGTTTTTTCTGAAACATAGCCCATCTTGCTATGCCATTTTGTTTCTACTCTATCAAATCAGATTTTAATAAAAATTAAATAAAAGGGAAATACTTTTTTAGTTGTTGTTTGTTTATTATTCCCTGATCTGCTTTTTGGAGTGTCTCCTAATGTCTACTAAAAGGACAAGTGAAGCCCTTATCTTGTAAACAATTGTGTGCAAACATTTGCTGGGAACACCAAGATCAAAATTCCCCAAAAATATCTTTCAGGAGTGGTGGGGGAGAACCTGACCTTATTTTCCACCTCTTGCAACCCTTCTTCACTAGTTTATAAATTAAACAATAAAATAACAATAACATCTAATTAAAATCCAAATAATCAGGTTGGAACCTGCCATATCATGGATGAGAATGAGTTGTATAAGTCTAGTGTTATTATTTATTCATTTGTTTGTTTGTTTATTTGTTTATTTATCACATTTGTCACTGCCCATCTCATTGAAATGATTCTGGGCAGTTTACAGCAAAAATAAAATTCATTAAAATACAATATAAAACAGACCTAATAATAAATAGCTTCCAAGTAAGATGGAAAGTTGAGGAATAGTTCAAAGGAGCATCATCAGGGTGCTAACCACCCCCAAGGACAGTTAGAGCTCACATTGCCCCATGCACTGCGGCAGAGCCAGGTCTTTAAACCTTTTCAGAAAGCCAGGAGGGTAGGGGCCAGTGGCACCTCTGGGGGGACAATATTCCAAAGGGCAGGGGCAATGGCAGAGAAGGCTCTCCTCCTGGGCCCTGCCAGCAGACATTGTCTTGCTGATGAGGTCTGCAACCTGCCCTCTCTGCCTGACCTGGCGGGTTGGGTTGATGTAACGGGGATGAGACAGTCCCTCAGGTAACCTGGACCCATGCCATGTAGGCCTTTAAAGGTGATAACCAGCACCTTGAATTGGACCTGGAAGCAAACTGGCACCCAGTGCAGCTCCCACAGCAAAGGTGTTACATGTGCTATCCTAGGGATACCTAATATCATCTGCATGGCTGCATTTTAAACCAGCTGTAGCTTCCTGAAACTCTTCAAGGGTACCCCATGTAGAGGGCATTGCAATAGTCCAACCAAGAGATGACCAGGGCATGAGTGACTGACCGGAGAGCCTCCTGATCCAAGAAGGGGCATAACTGGTGCACCACCCAAAGGCATATGGGCGCAGAGTCTGGGCCATAAAGTTCTTCCTCTCCCTGGAACTTCACTGCTCGTTGTTTGCTATCCACTGCACCACGCCGCCAGCACAGCTGCTGCTTGCTGCTTGCTGCTTGCTGCTTGCTGCTTGCTGCTTGCTGCTTGCTGCTTGCTGCTTGCTGCTTGCTGCTTGCTGCTTGCTGCTTGCTGCACCGTGCCACTCACTGCTTGCCACGCCACTCGATGTTGCTGCGCTGTGCCACCCAATGCGAAGCTCCACCCAGCCATACTGGCCCCCACTGAGCTTCACCATGTATATGGCACCAAGACACCCCCAAAATCCACAGCCCAGCCTTAAAAGCTTCTGGGCACTCAGGTAAGCTCTCAGGGCAAGCACTCCTTGCCTTAACCTAGCACGTTGACTGGTGCTCCCTCCTGATTATTGTCCACCTGATTATTTTCCAAGCTAAAAATAATGTTTAATGTATTCTGATATGTCATAGCTCACCTGTGTGAGTACATACATGTCAATTTTAGCTAGAAGAAAATTGTTTTTCTTTCCCTGAATAAGGCACACATGTAATATTTTAAAGGGCCATGGAGACCCAGGGTTAAGTCGATCTTTAGACATAGAAGCTGACTTGTTGACTTTGGGCTGGTCACCCTTCCTTGGTCTAAGATAAGTCACAAAGTTATTGTTGTGGGGAAAAAAATCAGAAGTCCCTGGAAATTGGGCAGGCTAGAAAGGAGAGAGATGAATGTGTGAATGTGGTACATGATTTCATAGAGTAAGAAGGTTCTGCAGCCTACAGTTTGAACCTAGGGAAGTGAAGGGAAGATTAGTGGAGATTAAGAGAAGCAAAGAAATTGTTAGTTGATTTGGTGGATCATCTCTCAATCTATTTCTTTAGACCTCAGACGATGAGGTGGGGCTTCAGCTGATGATCTAACTGGATAGATGAAGGGACACTCACTACTTTAAATTAGGGCTTGGAAATCCACAAGCAATGATTGCATCTAATGTGTTACATGTGCCATGTGTCAGGTTCAGCCTGCACCACACGCCTAGGAACTTGCCCAGCCGCGCTTTAGTCAATTTCACCGCTCGAGCACTAGCGCAGAAAGAGGAAATGCGAAACCGCAAGCTAATGAATGTGCTCCGGAGAGGGCACACCGAGGACACTACGGGACATTGTGGGTTCGTTAGGACTTTCCACCTCCTGCGTGAACAGTT